AACAAACAAGCAAAAGAAAATACCACCTAAAATGACAATCAGCAAAATGATTAGAAAATGTTGCTTCTACTATTCAGGTTTCTTCAAATGTTCTTTCTAAACCTTAGACCAGGAATTCCTAACCTGAGGTCCAAAATGGCCTTGATAAGTAGACAAAGCCCTTAAAATTGTATGAAACATCCTACAACTGCAAGATGGATTTTTTCATGAGGACAGAGTCTATAGTTTCCATCATATTCTAAAATAATATGATAAAATAATATGATAATTGCTGCCTTTTACTAAGTTCTTACCATGTGCTAGGCATTTTATAGATGAGGAAAGAGAGATTCAGAGAAGTAAATTGCTTAAAGTCACCCATCAAATAAGTAGTGTAGCTGGGATTTGAACAGAGATTTGTCAGGTTGCAAAGCCCATGTTCTTTTCACCCCCACATCATTTGTACTAACTCAGGGAAATCTCTGCCCCCAACAAAAGGTTATGAACCACTGTCTTAAAAGCTTCCTTTGAAGGAAATTGCTGGTGCTGATAACCCACCTGGGGAAATTGGGCTGCTAGCTGCAATCACTGCCTGCTCACCTCTGAAAGAAAATGCAACAACCTTAGAATTTCTTCTAGTTCTGTCTTGGCCATATGACATCTGAGAAAATGGGGCAATTATATGGATCAATACGAGTTATTACAACACGTCTAACTTCAGCTTTAGCCTAATAAATTGCTATTTATGGTCCATAGAAGGATTATGACCTTTAAAAAATAAATTTTAATGAACACTTTGCTAGGTTACAAATCTCAATAAATCTACTTACACATAAATTATATATGTATATATTTATATATTCATGAGAACAAGACTTTTGAGGAACATTTGCTGAAAACTGTGAGCCCTACCTGGGTTTAATAAACAAGTATTTACTATAGTTAGAGATGTCTCAGGAATATTTAAATAGCACAATGATTAATAATAATAACAGCAAAGTTGCTACTCATTAGTAATTTAGTTTTGGAGTAGCTTTTAAGCATCTTTATTTTTAAAAATTGCCAATGTAATATATTACGATTGTGAATACAACAAACTCAAATAATACAAAAGTACATGAAGTATAAAGTAAAACCTCCCCCAAATCCTCTCCACAGAAGTGTCTATTTTATTTAGAATTTTTTTCTATGGATTTAAGTAAGTGTGTGTGTATGTGTGCATGGGTGTGGATGGGTGTGTACAGTTAACAAAATGAAAATAATATATTCATAAATACATATTGTTCTACAATTTGATTTATTTTAACTATATTATCACAAACACATCAGTACATTTAGATCTACTCATCTGTTTTTAGGGTTACATATATCCATTGCATAGATGTACTATAATTTATTTAATTGAATCATCATTGATGAGTGTTTTAGTTGCTTTCATTTTTTTGCAATTATAAATAATGCTACAATAAATTTTCTCATACACACATCTTGGTATCTGTGGACTAATAATTTAATAGGACACATTACTAAAAGTAGAATTTCAAGGGAAAAGGATATAAGCTTTTACAATTTGATTTTCTATCTTTACTAGGTGTCTTATTAATTTATTCATTAAAGTTGATTTACTTTTTAAAGTAAAAGTAATAGATACACATGGTAAAATTTCAACAATGCACAATGATTATATTAAAATAAGTCTTCTTTCTCTTCGACCCCTTACCCCAAGTGCCTCTTAAAAGTAATAATTGTTAACAATTTCTTATGTATCCTTGTAGAAACCATTTAAAACTTGTGTTCACATGCAAATGTTCTTTGTTTCTCTTTTTCACAGTTGGATTATCATTATATACATACCCTTCTGTATCATTTTTTTACACTTAATACATTTTGGATATATTTCCTTATCAGAAAATGTAGAGCTGATTATTGGGGTGATGCTAATTAGCATGATAAAATAAGGATATGCCATGATCTATTCAATAAGCTCCCTTTGAAAAACTTTTAAGTTTCTTCCAGTTTTTTGCTGTGACAATAATCTACAATATTATTAAAAGAAATGGATGTTGTCAGGAATTTCTTGGAGTGACCATTAGGGAGTTATCATAAACTAAAATTCCTCTCTAGGTATGTTGAACTTAATCTCCTAATCTCAGCTCAGGTACATGATCCAAAAAAGGATTTGTTCTCACTTGTGTATGTATGAAGACAAAGCGCCTTCCTAAAGATATGCAGATTAAATTACTTTTAGTTAATCTGTTTAAGAAATCCTCACTTTGAAAAGAATGAAATAACATGAATTGAGTTCATCCTGGGAAATCTCCACTGTATCAAAACATAGGGTACTGTATCTGTGGAGCTATTGATTTGCTAAGATTCATTAATTTATTTAATGATCCAGGTGCTTTGAATTACTTTATGAACTCACCATTTTTGAAGTGTGCAGAGATTTATTACATAGTTTATGTAATTTCTAGGCCTTTGTTTGGCCCACTATTAAACCCTCTATCCACTTATCAGCTCTGATAGGAAAGGTTCCATGGTGATGGGTTCTACTAGCTAAAAGTCAATTTGATTTTGCCCTTGTACATCAATTCTCTGTGCTATCCTCATTTTTCATCACAAAGATAAGCAGGAGCTGTTTGTAGTTCACTCAAACCTCCCTATTTGTATTCTCTTGCACAGGGTGACATTATCCTATAGATTCAGAGATGGAAGCTCTAGCTATTCTATCACAGAATTCATTTTCCATGTCCTTGCCTGGAAATTGAATACAGAAACCACTTTGCAATTTTTTTCTCATCATTTTAAAGATGCTCATTTTGTATATACATATATTTATTTCTTACCCCACAGGCAGATCTGTCTGTGGCAGTTTCTGGTTGCCATTACTTATCACAAATCTTATAAACACTCTGAATTATATTTACAGAGTTGATTGAAAGAAAAACCAGGTGTGATATGTAAGCTAGAAAAACACAAAGATTTCATATGAGGTCATATACCCAAATCACTAGCAGAATTTGGTACCTTAGCAAATGTTCTACTTACTATTCTGTTGGCAGGTACATCTGCAACAAAACGCCTCATAAATATTCAGCTACTCTATACCTCTGTTCTCCAGCTCCCAATGATTGCAATGATGCAATTTTGTCTAGAGTGAAGGAGCAAATGGCAATTAAGCCCACAGACCCCTGTGAATAAGCATGGATTATCCCTGCTTTAAAATACAGAGACAGCTCATGCAAATCATTTGTGCAAGTGATTACTTGTTCACAAACGGGAACTCAATGAATGTGGCAAAACATGTTTATGAGCCCTTTAATAGTGGAGGCTAGATTCCATGGCGTCTGTAATTCCTCCAGTACGAATGGACATTCAGTTGTGGCACAGTGTGAGCTTTTGCATTTGCTTTCTTTCACTGAATTTTTATTGACCTGGAGATCCCTTGTACACTTTGCCCAGTGTCTCCCAATAGTAACATTTTGCAAAGCTATAGTATAACAACTGGAATATTGGCATTGATAACATTCACCAATCATACTCAGATTTCACTAGTTCTATACAGGTTTTTTTTCACCTGGGACAGTTTCTCTACACCACCACAGTCAAGATACTGAATAGTTTCATTACCACAAGGATTCTTCGAGTTATCCTTTTTAAAACATCCCCACCTCTTTTCCACCCTTTCCTGCTACTCCACTCTACTCCTTGCACCTCTAACTCTTGAGAACCACTAATCTGTCCTCCTTTCTTAAGTTTTGTCATTTCAAAAATGAATCGTACAGTATGTAACCTTTTTGGATTGGCCTTTTTCTGTTATTCAGCATAATTCTCTCGAGATCCATCCAGGTTGTTGCTTGTATCAATAGTTCATTCCTTTCTACAGTTAAGCGTATTCCATGTTATGGATATACTAGAGTTAGTTTAGCCATTCACCTATTAAAAGACATCTGGGCTGATTCCAATTTTTGGTTATTACAAATGAAACCTGCTACTAACATTTGTGTACAGGTTTTATGTGGAAATGAGTTTTTTTTTAAATCCTCATCTGAGCATATTTTTTCCATTGTTTTTCAGAGAGAGTGGAAGGGAGAGAGAGAGAAACATCGATGTAAGAGAGACACATTGATTGGTACCTCCCACACATACTCCGACCAGGGCAGGGAGAACCTGCAACCCAGGTGCGTGTCTCTGACTGGGAATCGAACCCAGACCTTTTGGTTCTCTGGCTGATGCTCTAACCACTGAGCAAAACAGACCAGGGTGAGACCTACAAAATCTTATTAACCAATGTCACCCCAATAAATTTAATAAAAACAAATAAAGAAAGAAAGAGAAAGATAAAATAGCAAGCCTTTATTTACAATGGTTAATTATTTTTTGACCACTTAATGTCTGCCAGGTGCTATGCTAAGTGTCTTACATGCATTAATTCAATTCTCAAAACAATTTCATAAGGTAGGTGTTATTATCTCACATTACAGAGGGGGAAATTGAAACACAGAGTGATTAATTAACTAGTCCAAGGTTACATAATGAGTAAGTGATGAGCCAGGATTTAAAACTACATCTATTTGAATCCAAAACTGGTCCTATTTACTGAAGATTTTTAATTACAAAATTCAATTTCTTTAATACATATAAGACTATTCAAGTTATTTATTTCTTCTTAAGTTTTAATACTTGTGTCTTTCAATAAATTGGTTCATTTCCCAAAGCTAATCCTCTCAATTATTGTACTACTGTAGCATGCATGCCTCTTTCAGGAGTGCCTATATATTTTTTTATGTAGACACTATGGAATGGACTTGTCATTTAATCATGGCATTGTGAGAACTATATAGAGATTCTAGAAAGTAGAAAATCATTGCAAGTAAAACCAAGTAATTAAGTGATTTGATTATATTTGATACTTATCTCCTTTTAAATATATGAGAAGAAAATATAGAACTCTTTCGTAAAGAATTGTCTCTTATTTTTAAAGCTGAACCTAAAGTAACACATGCTTTCTATTTTTTCAGTTGTTTCTGAAAATATAACAATTAAAGAAACAAGTACAACTCTTTCACAACAAATAGCTTTCACAACCCCATCCCAAGTTACTGAACTAAAGCCACAAAAGACTGTATATTCTTCTACAATGATGTCTAAAGGCATGCCTGTATTTGCAACTGACTATACAATCATATCATATTCCAATACCTCTCCATCTCTGGAAACAATGACTGCACCAACATTTTTAAAGACATCCATAGCTGAGACAGCTACATTCGTAGCAGACATTTTGTTTACTTCAGCAGCCATTGCTCTACCTACCAAGAATACCTCCATAGGCACTACTACCAATTCCACAAAAATAACTAAATCCCCATCTTCAGAGAGCACAGTGACAACAAAAATGCCTGGAGCCATTGTTACTGAGACCTTTCATCCAACTACAGCTACTAATTTCCTATACACATCTGGATTTACCAAGAATTCAATTACATACAAAACTTCAGCAATTAGATCTCAGCTCATCATTATAAAGACAACATCTTTATGCTCATCTATTGAGTCAACATCCAAGTCTAAATTCTCTTGGCCCAAACACAAATCCACAAGTATTCGAGTACTCCCTATCTCCACAGCTGACCAGAAGTTTCTTGCATCTACAGTGGCTGGAACTGTACCTTGTTCTACAGTGAAACAGAGTTCTACTCACATTGGGACTGAATCAGCAGTCCTACCTGAGTCTGTGCCCATCTCCACAGCTGCTCCAGTAAATACTATATTTCCTAGAAATCAAACATCTACATTGGCAATGACTGATACAAAAATATCATTTACAATTCATTCAGTGACGCTCCCAACTAAGTTTATTGAGACAACTCCTGAGCTAAGAACACCTGAAACAGAATTGACATCTACAAATTTCCAGGATGTCTCTTCATCCAGAGTGGAGAATACAATATCTATCTCCATGCCAAAAGAGGCCTCTTCTATGGCCCTTCCTTTCAGGACATCCTTTTCACTCACTGGAGCTCCGAACGTACAGACAAATATTGATACTGAGACTACACATACAGCCTTGACTCCTGGAACCACACTTGCTCATACAGCTGCTGAAAGTATGATTTACCCCACAGTCACTGGGCTAGTGCATACTAAGAATACACCCACAAGTGATGAAAACATGTTTCCTTTGACTTCCACTAGATCAACTTCCACATCCAATGCATCTGAATCTGGCCTCACAACAATAAGTGATGAAGGTGCCCATTTATTCACCAATGAGATCAATTGGACTTCCAGACCAAACCAGACCCTATTGACATCAGTATTCCATGGGAGTACTTCTAATACAGAACATTCATCCACAACTACTGATATTATTATCCCTCCAGAAGCATCCACAGAAAGTGAGTCTACCACTACCACTGATGCTATTATCACTACTGATGCCATTATAGACAGATATACAACTCTATCCAACTTGACATCTCCATGGTTGGCTGATTTCTCCATAATTTCTGGAACCATATCTGTAACCAAATTGCCTGAGTTTAAACTTACCTCTTTATTATTAAACACCACCCCTATGTCCACAGTAGCTGGAAACAAACTTCTTTCAACATCAAGGGAGACAGTTGTTCCACTGGTAGATATAATATCTTCCCTTGCTGACAGTGAGCCAAATTTTTCTATTGAGGAGAGTGCTTCTGAGACCACACAAACAGAGATAAAAAATACAAATGCATTTGGAGAGACAACAATCCCTGTGCCAGAGTCTGCAACAACACAAAGATTCAATACTTCTGTGACAAGGAAAGAAACAACTTCCCATTATCTTAAGGGAAGATCCACTATAGCAGCAACAACAGAGATTTCTCCATTTGCAACAATGCTGGAAGCAACAGATGAGTCTGTACAAATGGTGACAGCTTCTGTTACCGTTTCCCCTTTTCCTGATTTAGAAAAGTTGACTGCCCCATTAGATAATAAAACTGCAACTACTGAGGTGAGAGGATGTTGGCTTTCTCCAAAATCAGTGAAAACCACACCTAAGACTTCATACAATGGAACTGCAGAAATCTTTAATTCCATCCACATGTACACAGCACAGTGGACTTCAGAGACTCCATCTGAAGGGAATCCAACTCCATCTCCAACTTCTGGGAGCACAAAGACATTCCCTGAACCCCTGGTTGCTTCTATCATAAGGATATTGGAGACCAATTTTGCCACTGGTCCTACAGACAGGAGAGCTATGTCCTTGTCTACTAGTATCTTGCCTCCACAGCCTACAGCTACCCATTTCTCTGCAACCCCTGTGCTTATTACCCATATGTTCTCACCAGTTAATGTCTCTGCTGTCACCTCTATGGTGGTGTCTGAAGAGACTAAAATTACCATGTCTGAGCCTTCTGCACTGGCCAGGGCTTCCGCCACATCTGTGCACTCAGATATCTCAACTCTGTCATCAGCTAGAGTGACCACAGCATTGGTGCCACCACTGGATCAGACTGTTTCCACAACCAGTGATATTGTGCCTACCCATGGAGACTCGACTCACACCACTTTAGAGCCCACAATGATCTCTGTCAGAATGACACCTACAGCAATTTCCTTTCTGACAAAAACTCCAGTCCCCTCACTGAGACCTACCAGTCCTGTGGCAACTAAGGCTGAGACCACCCTTCTCTCCACTTCAGCTGACACAGTTAGTTCACCCACATCCTCTCTTGCCTGCTCTAAATCTTTCCCTGACAATATTCCTGACAATATTTCTGTTGTGTCCTCCACTCAGATGATCTCAACTATGTCTACACTAGTAGCAACCCAGCCCATAACTCGAGTGGAGGAGACTTCTATCCATGCTCTCAGCTTTCTGTATACTTTCAGTGGTAGTGGTGATGTTGTTAGCTTGGTTACTGCCTCCACGAAAAATTCTGTTATTGATGAGACCATGCCCTCACACACCTCTGCCAATAAACTTACAACTTCAGATGGTCACATTTCTCAATTTCCCACACGTCTTGAAAACACACTGGTCCCCACTCTATCAGTGACTGATGTTTCTACCTTTTCTTCTGACAAAGAGCAGATGACCACCTCACTAGGAAACATTGCTGAAACTATGGAGGTGACAGAAATGTCCCCATTAAAGAACCCTTTTATTTCAGAGTTCCAGAGTACTTCATCCTTGGAAGTGACAGATATTGGATTTGCTGAGACCACAAGAATTTCTAGTCATCAAACACATTCACCTTCAGAGATTACACTTGTGACTTCACCTGATGGGATTTCAGTTTCATCTCCCACTCCAGGGAGTACACAGACAACACATACCACCTGGACGTCGAGTAACATAGATGTTCACATTTCAGAAATATCTAGTCTTGGGAAAATAGCTCTCCCTTCAGAAGCTCTGACAATTACCACATCTTTGTCTCCTGATAAAGAAAGCATGAGTGCCCTTTCAATATATACTCCCAGGACTGAGAAAATGACAGTAAGCACCACCTCTGTGACTCATCCTTTCTCATACCACCAGGACACTTCATTTGTAAATACTGTAACTTTCAGGGCAACCAGAATATCAAATCCTATAAACATCAACACAGCTCTTTCACATTTGCTTTCACCCCGGACTCAACCTGAGGTGACATCAGTTGCCTTTCCCATTTCTGAAAGCACACAGACCTCCCCCGAGTCTCTGTCTCTTTCCACAACTGAACTATCTAGTGCCAATTTTACAATTATTTCTACTGATGGGATCACTACAGCACTTTCTGCTCCAAGTGTAACTACAGCACTTCTTGGGAAAACTTCTATGGCAACATCCATTCCTATTTACCAGATGTCCTCATTGCCAGTTAGTGTCACTGCCTTCACCTCCAAAAGAGTTTCTGATACTCCTACAATACTAATGACCAAATCTTCTAAAACAACACACCCAGATTGTTTGAGAAGTCCCTCTATAGCCACTTCTGGGCCAGTGTCTGAAATGACCTCAATGTCAGTTCGTGACTCTGCTTTTTCACCTCCAGCTGTTTCTTCTGACAATTCCACAACAGTCAGATCATTTTCTACTTTATTGTCTTCAATTACTCCTAGGACTACTATGACCATACAAACATCTACATTGGATGTCACACCTGTGACATATGCTGGGCTTACTTCAAGAAACACAATTTTCTCTGCTATTACTACTTCAAAAATGACAGAGATACCCTCCTGGATCACACCTACGTCCTTTTCCTTTCCAACAGAGCCAACTTATTCCTCTGTGAAAACCATTCCATCCACTATTATGTCTGGGGTGGTGACTCCATTTGTAGGCACCACTGTCTCCTTTCTACTCAGTTCTCAGAACACTCAAGCAATTGCTTCCATTCAAAAGACCACATTTCCACCATTTCTATCAACAACTCCACAGTCATTCCAAAGAGATGAGGCTACAACTCTGTGCATATTAACTGGGATTACTAACAGCTCCCTATCCACTGTAAGCGGTGGTAGAGTAACAATTCTCACAAATACTTGTTCCAGAACTGCTGTTCCTAAAAGTGTGATTTCATTGACTCCTTCAGATAGTCTCCATACTTCTTTGAATATTCAGGTTTCCCCATCTTTGGCTAGCTTTAAGAGCATTCCTGGACCAACAAAAAGTATAAAAGCCACCACTTCCCTTTCTTCAAACACACAAAAAAACACTTCCTTGTCAGAAAATACTTCAGCAACTGAACTAACAAAAGGAACCACATCTGTAAATACCCCTGTTTCATACTATCCATGGACTCCATCCAGTGTAACTCTGCCCTCTTTTACATCATTTCTTTATTCACCTTGTAGTACTAAAGCTGAGTTCTCTACTCCAAAGACTTATCTTCCTCCTACATCCCAAATGGTTGAATTTCCAGTTATGGGAACAAGAACCACATCTAGTAACACCCAATCTCTACTTATGACTTCCTGGAACACACCCATGGCTGAAGATTCTCAATTTCCAATTTTCACCACTACTCGTGTACCTACACCCAAGAAGATGGAAACAGAGACTCCATACCTTGTTCCTGGATCTTGGTCAGCATTCACAGCTTCCCAGATTGGCCTTGTATCTGGAGATGTTATGGCAATGTCATCAAGTTCCAAGTCAGGAATTCTTCCTATTTTGGGGATGTCTGAGAGCCCTTCATTATCAATATCCTCAAGATCTATCCCTACCACTTTGGTTGACATTAAGCAAATATTTGGGAAGACTACCACATCTATAACTCCTGGGACCACACTCCCATCAAATCCTTCTGTTGCCACTTCAGAATCTGTAATTTCAAAGGCTACTACTTCAGGTTCCCTTCTGATAACTGTGTCTAACACTCCTCACATTATAACTTCCTCTGCAGTAGAGGTGCAGCCCATACTGGACTCCCTTCCAAATATAACCACCACTACATCTACAACTACTGAAGCCTCATTTCCACTCACATCTACAAGAGTAACATATCCTTCTACAGCAACTGTGTCTTCACTGCTTTCTTCCTCTTTTGAGACAACCTGGCTGGGCTCTACACCTTCCTCTTTATCTATGGAAACATTGACTTCACCTATTGCCATTAAGTCCACAGGTACGTTCCATAATGTGTCGGTGCATCACTAATAGAATGCATGCACAATGAGCCAGCCATGTGTTCTCCAAGGTGGACAGGTCTCTGAAGGCAGAAAAGGATAAAGAAGGGTATAGGTGTTTCTTAACTCTTTCAGTCAGTGGGTACAGTGGGTACTTTATCCAAATATAAAACTCTCTAGCCATCTTATATTCGCTTTATTAAATATAATGCAAATGTGTCTTTTTACTCAGTGTGACATTTCTAAATCTCCTTTCCACCCACTTTGTTCTTGATGTTCTGACTTTGCCAATGTGAACATGGATCAGGAACCTCGCCCCCTTTGCAATAAGAGGATTACATAATCTTAGGTCTGACATATTGATCAGAAATCACCAGAAGATATTTCTCTGATACAAGTCTCAGCCTTTTCCATTCTTCACCTCCAGATGACTTGTAATGCTTACCAGTGGCTAGAAAGTATTTGGCTTTCATATTGCTCAAATTTTGGATGTTCCTTCAACTTTTAGTATTCCAAAATTGAAATTTGATAGGGCAAACAAGAGAAAGAGGTAACTACAAAGAGAAAAACCTGAAGCAGAAAGACACAGGAAAAAATATTTCCTCAGAACAAATGATCTTGTGAGATTATGTTTAGCTTTGTTGTTAAATTAACTGGAGATCCGTTGATCAACAAAAATTGAGGATTTGGGAGATTTGTAGAATGTGTATCATCTGTGTAGGGAACGGCCCAAATAATTAAAACAAAAGTGCAATGGTACATCCTGTTTGCTTTTTAAAAAAATTATTTAAAATTTGTTTCAATTACAGTTTACATTTAATATTATTTGGTATTAGTTTTGGGTGTACGGCATAGTGGTTAGACAATCATATATAAAATGTTTCCCTGATATTTTCAGTACCCATCTGGCACCATACATAATTGTTACTATATTATTGACTGTATTTCCTATGCTGTACTTTACATCCCTGTGACTACTCTGTAACTACCAATCTGTATTTCTCAATTCCTTCACCTTTCACCCAATTCCCCAACATACCTTTTCTGTGGCAACCATCAGTCTGTTCTCTGTATCTATGCATCTGTTTCTGTTTTGTTTGTTCCTGTTTTGCTTTTGAATATGAAGCCAAAGTGCTAGTTCTTGACCTTGGAATTAGATTAAGCAAAGTTTAAGAATGAGATTTTACTGTTTAGTTTCTTTAAAATAAAGAGCAATTTTGCCCTAGTTGGTTTTGCTCAGTGGTTAGAGCATCAGCCTGCAGACTGAAGGGTCGCAGGTTTAATTCCTGTTCAAGGGCGCATACCTTGGTTGCAGGCTCCATCCGTGACCCTGGCCAGTCCCAGTGGGAGGCAACCAATTGATGTGGGTGTTTCTCTCTCTCTGTCTCTGTCTCTCCCTCTCCCTTCCACTCTCTCTAAAATATCAATGGAAAAAATATCCTTGGGTGAGGATTAATAAAAAATAATAATAATTAAAAAAATAAAATAAAGAGCAATTTTGACCAAATTGACAGAAGTTAAATTTCTTGAACTCAATAAATACAATTAATCTCCTTATTTTTTTAAATTACAGTTTCCTTCTACAATATTGGAATGAGCTTCTCTGTCTTTGGTGAAGAGTCAGCAATCCCTATTACCAGTGCCTTAAATGAATTAGCAGAAAATTGGGTAAAATAATCTTTTGAACATTTATGGTACATATAAAATATGTGAATATGTGTATGTATGTATCTATATATATGACAAACATTGAGCGGGTTAAAACTAGATTTTACTTTTTCTACCCATAATACATTTCACAACTAATTGTTTTTGACTTTTCTGCTGAAAATCTGTCCACTCTGTAATCAACACCATGAGGATTTATGTGTTTTTTTCTTTTGTAGTGCTAAATGCTGGAAGCTTTTATGGGATGTGAATATTTTAATTTGTTTAGAAGTGTACATTTCCCTCCTCTGATACAAATTCTGGGTCTTTGACAAATTTTCCTATTTGGGGAAAGTAGGAGAGCAGTGATAACAAAGTCTATGCCATCGAATTTAAATATTTTTATTTTCTGCATTTTAATTTTTCTTTCACTTACACAATAAATATTTTACTTATCTTTACATTTTTCTGGTAAGCTACATACTCTCTGTAAAAATCCAGAAACTGAAACCTGAAACCCAGAAAATATACATCCTCTAATATTGCTCTTTGTATTAACTACAGTTTGAGGTATTTTTTTCTATACATACAATAACATTGATGCATGTATGTTCTTTTACAAAAATAATTGAAATCATACTAATTATGCTAACTTTAAGCATATTCATGATTATAAATATAAATCTACCACATACACTTTAACAGATGCATAGGATTTCACTAGATAATTGTGAAGTAGTATCTTTAATCTAGGCATCCATTGATGGGCATTCATGTGTTTCTATTTTTTCTCTATTTGGAAATGATGCTAACAATAATGCCCTTGCAATAAATTTTGGAGAGGCACTTGAGTATTTCTTTAGGATAAATTCCTAGAACTAGAATTGTTAACTCAAAGGACATGAATATTTCACATTTTAATAGCTATTGCTAAGTGACCCCCCAGATAGGTGATACAAACTTGTACCCCCACCAACAGTAAATGATCATGTCTGTTTCCCCTCTTTCCCCATCAGCATTTATTTTCAAGTGTATGTGATAAGTGGTTGACATGATTGGGTATATTTGTCTGCTAGAGTTGTCCTAACAATATGATGCTCTAGGTGGCTTGAACAACAGACATTTATTTTCTCAAGGTTCTGGAGACTGGAAATCCAAGATCAAGGTGCCAGCAGGGTTGGTTTCTGGTGTGGTCTCTCTCCTTGGCTTGTAGATGGCTACCTTCATGTTGCATCCTCATGTGGCTTTTTCTGTGTGTGTGCATGCAGAAAGCAAGAGCGAGAGAAAGAGTGAGCGAGAGGGAGAGAGAGAGATCCGGTGTCTCTTACCCTTCTTATAGTGATACCAGTCCTATTGGAATAGGACTCCACCTTATGACCTCATTTAGCCTTAATTACCTCCTTAAAGGCCCTATCTCCAAATATAGTCCCATTAGGCAGTTAGGGCTTCAACATATGAATCTGGGGGGGGGGCACAATTAAACTCATAACAGTAGGTAAAAACCAAATGGAACAGATGGACATGTTGAACCAACTGAAATAATGAATGCAGCTTAATGATCACATCATCTCAGATAACTTTGCTCTTGGTTAAGACAGAGGAGTAGGACTACTAAAACAGATATGCTTTGTCTTTTACAGATGAATTCTATGTTTCAGAACAGTGAATTTGCTCTTGCTAATCTGGCTATTCAAATTAAAAGCAGGTATGTGAATGTCATCTGCTGTGGGTTGAAAGGCAGTTTGAGGGCATTGTGGCTTTGTTATTATCCAGGGGAGACTTCCTGTGGTTTTTTTTTTCTGAGATGTAGGAACTGCTGCATTTTGAGTTGTATCTTTCCTTCTGAGTGTAGGTTCTCTTTGGAATGAGAAATACATTTGTATTATTACTATAAAGTATAAAGCCAATGGGAGAACAAAACAGAAGAAAATAAGAAAAGGCAATAGTGGAATTGGACTCAGTTACCTCTAATGCCCCCTTTAGCTTTAAAATGCTATGATTCTGTGACTTGGGGAAAAAATCATGCCTTAAAAGATGAAACACTCAGAGTGACCAAGAGGATATATAAGGCCTTTTATTTTTGGACAGTGCACTTCCAGGAATTAGAAATTCCAAAGGGAACTTGAATTTTTTAAAGTGAGGAATGCTGACTAGTTCAAAACTTGCCTGGGGCACAAAATTGGAGAGCTGATTGTAGTAAAATTGGCAGGCACTGAGTAATATCAAGGAGAAGATAACCAAAGCAATTAGTCATCTGAGAACTATTTCCTCTGCTCTTGCATTGTACATATACTAGTCCTCTGTTAAAGGAACATCTGGAACATCTTTTCAGATCAATATGTACAGATTTAGCAAAGGATCCTCTTATATGAGTGTGCCTTGGTGTATTTACCCAAATACCTAGTAATGGACATTTCAGTTATTTCCACCCTTGTATATATATTTTTATAAATCCTTTCTGGTACTATTATGGGATAAATTCTTGAAAGTGGGTTTGCTGAGTCAAAGGCTTACTACCATTTTGTTACATGAATAATGACCAACCTCTTTTGAAGGATCTCCTTGGAGCCCTAGTATTATTTGAATTCCAAGCTGGGAGATTCTGTTTTACCTCAGAGTTGTCCTTCTCCTGAACTTGTGTCTTTATATATTTGGTACTTTATTTCATTTTTCTATAATTTTGATGCTTTTGATACAGAAATGCTTCTAAGGAAGAAATAACCATGGACAGAACTTTTGTAAGTAATTTTTCAAAATGGATGTACTTGTAACCCATCTTATACCTGATTAGATGTAAGTAAATAGCTCTTCCACCCAAGTACATATTATTAATCAAAGCTCAACTGTGATCATTGAGGGTCAAAATACGTTACCTTCTTTGGAATCTGCACAAAAACCCATTAAGGAAACCATCCTCTGCTTTTCTGATCTATATATATGTGGCAGTTTTTTTTGAGACACATTTTGTGGGCTATGGGAGTATGGAATGACTTTGGGACTGTAAATGGTAAATGGAAGTTCTAGATTGTGGACTTCTTGCAAAAAGCCTGGTTCTTCCAGGAGTGACACAGTTGTTTGCAAGGCTGGCATTCACATAATAAATTCCTCTTCTATTTGTATAGATTTGAAATCAGAGTGTGACAAAACTATCTCCCATCATCCTTGCCCCAATTCTCAGTACTTACTCCAGTGCTTCAAAGTTTTACAATGTTAGACCCTGAAAGGATTAATAAGCACACAGATTTTAAGCTATTTAAATGAGATAAATATTTTGACTATATGAAATGCAATCAATGCATTCCAAATTATCTGCCATCATTTAAAATACTTTCTATAAATAGCTGAATCAGAATTTTTTATTTAATACATGACAGATAACATAATATGACTAAACTTCCTCTCAAATAATAGGTGTAAAAGCCTATTGTGATAATGTGGTTCCCAGAGCCAGGCTCTTTGGGTTAAAATCCTTGTTCTTCTACTTCCTGTCTGTGAGACCTTGGGCAACATAATTAATCTCTCCCTGCCTCAGTTTCCCAATCTATGAAATGAGAATAACAATATTATCAGTCCTCACAGGGCTATTGGAAAGGTAGAATGGGATAATTTATGTAAAGTGCTTAGCAAAAGACATAGTAAATGCTTGGTATTACTATCACTATGTTAGGCTTCAGATCCAGAAAGCTTAGATTCTGCTCCCAGTTCTTTGACTCCTCAGTTATATGATATCAAGCAGATCATTTAACTTCTCTGAGACTTAGCTTCCTCATTTAGAAAATGGAGTGACAATCCTTGGATTGCCCACTCTCCAGAATTAGTTTGAGAACTAAATGTATTGATGATTTGGAGGGTGATTTGAAGATGGCAGTGAGTTACATAAGAATAAAGTACAATTATCATTGTTGTTGTTAACAATAAGCCCTGTACTCAGTCGTGATGTTTGTTTAAAGATTTCAGTGACTATGTAATTTTCTTTTGCATTATTTGGAACAGAGAGAAGGGCAAGAGATGGCTACAATTTCCCATGTACTATACAGGTAGGAGCTGAGTTTATTCATAGCTGGTATATTTAGTTCTGATTTCCCTTCTATTTAATTCTGTATATGCAGCCTGTTGGTCAGAGTTGTCAGGAGACTGTATATGCAGTCTGTTGGTCAGAGTTGTCAGGAGATCAAAGTACCTGGTGATTATTTTACAGAGGCTGTAATTGGGCTATTGTCTTCATGAAATAAGTTGTTCTGGTTGGTCACAGCACAGCCTAGCAGCCTGCCTGCTGCCTCTTTGTAGTGAAGAGAAAAGGGACTCCAAAGTGGTCATAATTTGGGGATGGGGGAATAAAGTGTTTGTTGACATCAAAAATGTCCACAAAATACTGAGCAGTAAAATTGAAAAAGCAACATGGATGACATCCTTAGTCCTGTTCAGCCTCGTAGGCCAGCTCTTCGCAGAACCCTGGCTATTGCTGGGCTGCTTGATGCAACTCAAGAAGGTCAAAGAAGACTCATGGAAAAGCAATTGAAATGTTCAGGGTGCTAAGAATAGAGTCTGTTGCAGCAAGAGGAGAGATTTTAAAAAGAAGTGCTCTCTTTTGACTGTAATGATGACAGATGAGACAAGAGAGGCCCCAATTGAAATGTGTAAGATGAACAGGGTCTTCACCAAATATGAATAAGTGGAGGGGGAGGGATATCTTAAATTGGACGTAAAACCTTTGAGTAAACACAGGCACATCTAAATTTCAACAGCTGGTAGGAAACGTAAGAAATGTATTCTTCAAAAAGACTTATCTACAAATGGAAATGGAGAAAAGGTACAAGTAAGTTTGTGAATCTGAAGTGTGCTCTGTCATGGAGCAGTAGAGGAAAGTAGAATCTTTGAGGAACTCATTACAGAGGTTGAGGTCAAGGACAGCCCTATTCTTTCATAACATGTCTTTTAGTGGAAATAATATTTAGAAATGAAATATTAGGTCTTTGTGACCTTGGCTAAGGTTTAGTTTTCTCATCTGTAGAATGAGGATAATAATAGCACTACCTCATAAGGTTGTTGTGAGGATAACATGAATCAAAACATGTGGAGCAAGAACTCCATAAATGTTAGCTACTATCATTATCACATCACTATTATTCAAATAGGCCTTTTATAGAACACATCTCTGTAGACTAATTGAGCATGTGCCTATTTGCCTTATTGCAGTAATAATGGATAAATTGGAGACCAGAAGGATAAAAGGTTTTCTCTGAAGTAATAAATCCTGAGTACCTCATCTCCTCTATTAATTATTACAAACTCTTAGAGAAATAGTATGGCTAATCAATTTCAACATAATGAAAATGTTGCTGACAGTTCTTCTCCACCNNTCTATATCTATCATCTATCTATCTATCTATCTATCTATCTATCTATCATCTATCTATCTATCTATCTATCATCTATCATCTATCTATCTATCTATCTCTACCTATATCATCATCATCTATCTATATCTACCATCTATCTATATCTATCATCTACATCTATCTATCTATCTATCTATCTATCTATCTATCTATCTATCTATCATCTATCTATCTATCTATCTATCTATCATCTATCATCTATCTATCATCTTCTATCTATCTGTCTGTCTATCTATCATCATCTATATGAGAAAATTTATTAAACAATTTCAATATTCTGTCTTCTATAATTTCTTAAGATTTGCTACTTAATAGCTATAAAATATTTGATGTTTATGAACTACCATTAAGTCATTTATACAGAATTTCATCACCATAGGCCAAGCTGCACACTGTTGACATAATTGCAACATCTTTCTTTTTTGTTCTGCTTTCTAGCTGTGTTTGTCAGGTCGTCATAAAGGCCAGCTCTTCTTTAGCACCTGCCGAATTGATTAGCAGGATCAAAAGTAAGATACAAGGCAACTTCATGCGTGGAAACTTCACACAAGATCATGTGACATTATTAGTAAAGTCTGAACACGTTGCAGTGAAAAAATTAGGTAATTTGGGTGAGGGTATTTCCATATGAATTCACTTCCCTTATTATAAAGTTCATAATGCATACATAGTAAGAGATCCTGAATTCAGAGGGGAGACAAGTGGTCTTCATGTTCCTTTCCACATCCTTAGTGCCCCCTTGCCCTGACAACCTTTCCATCTCTATATCTATCTATATCTCTATCTATCATCTCTCTATCTATCTGTCTATCTATCTATATCTATCTATCTCTCTATCTATCTATCTATCTATCTATCTATCTATCTATCTATCTATCTATCTATCATCTATCTATCTATATCTATCTATCT